ACTTACAGGCCTGAAAAATATTTAGTAATGAAGAATTCCTATTCTAGTGTGTAAAAATATCAATTACTTCAGATTTCAAGGAAAATGACAAGAAAATTCAAAAATAAGAGGCTATTTTATGTGGTCATCTGTTTTTTCATCCTGCACAACGCTCCCAAAGTCTTACTTGTTGCTTCCTATTTCAAGGGTATTAACACAAAGATTAATTAAATTTTGGACAGATCTGGTCATGGAATAGAAAAAGAACAATGGCTTAACACCCCCTTTCCCATCCTCCCCAGAGTAAATCCCAAATACGTCCTATTGGAAGAGTATAATCCTCAATTGAACTGTTAGTATTTTTGAGTTATTTATCAAGACCTTGGTAATTTAACTTGTATTAAACTAAGATGATTTTCCATATGAGATTTAAGAAACATTTTAACAATAATAGGAGACAAATCCATAGGCAACAAACAGGGAAATATCCATTAACTAACTCTACAGCACAGTTCAATTTGACTTAAAATAACTGTGATTTGCTTGGAATGTGCGTAATTGCTACAACTAACAGGCTGGCAGTCACCAGAAGAAAACCAGGAGACTTCACTCCACTCACTGACACTCGCACGGATCCTTAACAAAAGCCATCTTGTTCAGTGCTGCATTTCAGATTGTCACTGACGCAGATCTAACCACGGATTTTCCCCAGCCGGCTCCATTTGTAACCATGCCCGTCTTTACTCAGCAGAGATCGCTGCGTTTTAGAAACGTGGTCTACAAGCACCATCGCCAACCCCTCCCGTCCTCTCCCCTGTCAAACCACACGGCTGCGCCCAGAGAATGGGCGCTGCTGCTGCTCGGGGGGATGCGGGAATCCCTCCCGGGCGCCCTCCTGCCTTGCTGGGATTCTTCCCGCCTTCATCTTGTTCCCTTTGTTTTAGGGCCCGTTGCTTTTCACACGGCCTAACTGTCACTGCTCCCGTGTGAACAAGCCCCAGGCCTGTCCCACGCAAGCACACCGCCCTGGGCTGGGCCTCCGGGCAGCTCGCCGGAGAGCAAAGCCCTCAACTGCCCGGCAGCCCCCTGCAGCGCAGCTCTGTGAGCAAGGCTGCCGGGGGACAAAAACACCACAAAAGCCCCAAACCAGTGTTGAAATAAAAATCCCACGTCTTCCTCTGCCATAAGCAAATGTTGTTCCATCTAAACACGCTCTTTCTGGCTTTCCCGTACCTGGTGGCAGAGCCCCCCCCCCCCGGGGTGACGCAGGAGATGTCCCTGGTGATGCAGCTCCCTTGGCAGGGCTGGGAGAGCCCTCCCCGCTCTCAGCAAAACCAGGCAGTGCACGTGCTCGCTACAAATTAATATTCTCGCAACAACCTCCCCTCCAATCAGTCTTTGCTAAAAGCATTAATTAAGACTTTAACATTTTTGATCCCATCAATTTTCTGTTCTCTTCTTATTAAATAGATGTACTAGGGGAGTGGGAATAATAACTGCCCGAAGTTTGGGGATAATGAATAAATGAACTTTGCCAGCCTCTGGCTAAGCATGAAATTTACTGTGTAGTAACAAATGCAACAGAGGCAGCTCATACGTTAACCAACCTAGTTTTGACACACAAATTTGGGAGCACATTATTTACTTACTCACTAATTCTAAGTGAGTCTAGGGTCCAAAATGTTTTATGTGGGAAATGAAAAATGACATGTTCAGACAGTCTTTTGCATTCTCCATCACAGCGTGAAGCTGCTCACTCACCCATCTTCCCTTCGGTGGGTCTCTGGCCCTCTCGCCATGCACAGGGATGTTTGCCGGACTGCACGCTTTATTTTCCTTGGGAGTTTTGCCAGAAAAGGAGCATACCAGGAACAAGGTAATTTAGCCTTTTACTTGCTAGGTCTTGGTGCTTTGAAGGTCACCTGTGTGCTCTAAAACTGCTTTTGTTCCATGTATTTTTACATGTGCCCGGCTCTAGCACGAGCTCTGTTACACTGTTGTAAATCCATTCATTTTTGTAGAAAGCCATTAGCTCGCAGTGAATTTATAGCAGTATAACTGTGAGCAAACTATGGCTGATGGCGCAGGCTGGAAATATTACAAGGCAAAGTGCAAAGTTCTATTGATTTTCTCTCAGGAAAAATGTGTGTTTCCTTATGATTATATTATAGATGACTCAGCTCTGGCCCCTAACAGCCATCACTCCTGCTTCCCAGCTCGGCTGCTTGCTGGCTCTGCGAGGAGGAGATGCTGACGGTGCTGTCCCCCAGTGCGGGGACCAGAGGCCGTCTCCCCAGGTGCCCAGGGATGCACCCACCCTGCCACCGGTGCTGGAGGACTCGCTGCCTGGCTCTGCGTGGCACTGCAGGAGACAGGACGCCTTTCCACGGCTCCACAGTCCAAGCACTTACTCGTAATCGATTCTGACAGCAGACACCACGAGGAATGCTGAGATTCATGAAAGAGCAAGATTTGCCACTAGCCTCTGTCCATTAAGGGTACTGCAAAACCTCACTTTGCCCTTTGTAAGTACAATCAGCAGAAGTGAGGCAGTTGCCCTTTTCAGAAGAAAGAGCACTCTCAAAGGACAGATGTTTTAACTGAAGTCCTTAACACACTCACAAGCAATAAGGCTCTAAATTCTTTACATTTTTCCATCAAAATGTTTCTCATTCCTTCAAGTGCTTTTTAAAGACTAAATACGGTACTGAAAGCTGCAGCCAGTTCCTTCCCCTGCACTACGCAAATACGGGGCCAAACACAGGCTGTGTATTTCGCAAAAAAGTTGTCCCGAATGTGGAAACCAAGGCCCCAAAACCTGGAGGACTCACTCTGCGCATTTTTGACAGCAGAAATACAGCAAAGGTAAAGGTAAAGCCAGGTTATCTTGGCAATCTGCCCCCGTGTTGAAGTTATCCCGTGTGCTGGGAATGCATTATCTCTGCACGCGTGCAGGTCTTCACTGGAAAGAAAAGATGCCTCTTGCTCTCGTTCGGAGAGACTTTTCATCAAATCCTCAGGTTATCGTTTAGTGGTTCTGAGGTTTTATAGTGAATTGGAATCTAAGAATTGTTATTCTTACTGTGGCACACTTAATTCTGATCTCAGAAAGGATAAAAAAAGTTATTTTTAGTTGCAGATTTAGTATTTTTTCACCTTTAATGTGATTAAAGTCTAAAAGACCTTGGTAATTCTACTCCTGCCTCTGCACAAAACTTCCAGTTGCTGCCACACCCGTGTGCAGGTAACAAGGGGAAGGACAAATACAAGATGATGTACTTCCTCCCGTGTTTTCTGCAAACCACACAGTATGCAATTCCAGACATAACGTACTCTGTAAGTGACGAAACACACTTATCAGAGCAAAGCATGTGATCTGTTTACTAAGAGACCATGCTGAGGTACAAAGTTGAAATAAAAGCGAACTACTCCTAGATAGACTCCACTGCGTCAAGCATGAGCTATTTATTTAGATGAATTTAGGCAGATTTTTTTCTTCCCGTTGTGGAAAAAATTGTTTTGGTTCTCTCCCTTAGAAGGAAGACAAGTCACTGAGAAATACTCACTGCCCTCGAGAAAAAGCAGCAGTGATGATGATCTCGCCAGAGGAACCACCGTTCAAACCCAGGCAGGCTTCACTGTCATGACGAGCCATTACTTGAAGGAGTAGAGCTCTCGTGACATTACAGACTCCTCACATACCTCTGCATCGAGTAATCGTCCTTGAACAAGTTCCCAGACATGAATGCTGGTGTTGATTTATGCAGAGTCCTACATTCAAATTTTTTTTTCCACCTGTCTTTTCCTTTCTTTTATAAAGACTCGCCCTCCCGCGCACACGTGGAAGCCAAGGACCGTGCTCTTCAGCGTCTCGGGTGCGGAGGCACTGCCGGGCTTGCAACAACCACCTCCCCCAAGTCCTTCCAAAGACCAGCTCTGCTTTTCGTGGGATGACTATGGATTATTCCCCAATCCACGGGATACGGCAGCTGGCATTAAGGGGATGAACATTCTTACAAAGAGTTTATCACTTCTGGATCCCCATGGTGAGTTTGCCCCAGTACAAAAGGGCTTTTATTACCACAGTGTAGTTGCATGTATGAAACACAGATGCGTTTGAGTCTCACACCTAGTGAGATGCAAGTAGCACGAATCCCTCACTATCACTGGCAGTCCCAGAAGCAGCAAATTCTGACCATCTGAGCAACTGAAAATCCCTTCCTACCCTCCTTCTAGAAGAGGACTCAGGTACCAGGCGAGACAATGGCATGTCCTGCTTTTGCTCCACAGATTCTGCCAACAGAGTCCTGCTGTGCTGTAGCTGTCACTTTAGCATTTCCACAATTAAGGTCCTTTCTAAAATGCTATGCAAATGAAAGGATAAGAATCACAGTGAGACATAGGAAATGTCAAAGTACTTCACTAAATTCAGCTAGAGAACGTCGTATTTCTTTACCAAGTCATCCTATTATCTCACTTAAAAGCCAAGTATTTTGGAACAGAAAAATAACTGCTGTATTTACTGTAAAAAAGCCTTTTGCTTTGTTAGAGAAAAGCTCACTTGGTAAGACAAGTGACACAATTATGTAATTTTAAAAATCTAAATATATTTTAAACAAATATTAGAACTAAGTCTGGGGAATACAGCATTCCAGGTTGAATCAGTTTTATTTTCCACCGGTTGATTAACCTTTTCTCAAAGAGGCCTGGAGAAAACCGGAACAGCTTACCTTGAACGCTGCACACTGTCACACCGTCCGTCTGACCAGAGCCTGCATTAACTGCCCAGAGAGAGCTGGTGCCACCACAGGAGAATGCAGCTCTACCCCTTGTGACGCGCCGTCAGCACATTCCACTGTGGGGTTTGAAAACACATGGGGGTGCACAATAAATAACTGGTTTCAATGTTGTGTTGTTTGTGATGCACCTTTCCTCAATCCTGTGGGCTGTGACAAGGCAGGGACAGACACAGCCATGAAGCCTTCTCGGAGAGCTTCAGGACACAGGGAAACGCACACACATCTGTAAAAACTTTATTTCAAAATCTTTTTATTCAACTGTTATTCAGCAATATACAATACAGTTTATAAACAAATGTCTTACCTTGTTTCCAATCTTCATTTAAAAATAAATATTATTGACAGTGAATATTAATTATGGTAAGATGTACCTTTTTAATTAAAATGTCTCCAAAAGAAATAATTTAATTAAAAAAGAAAAAGGAAATCCAAAAAACCTAAACACAATCATCTACTAAAAATATTTCCTTTCTTAGGAAGGGCTTTGACCCAACATCTTTACATATTGTCATAAAGATAACTGCTCAACAGTTCGTGCAAAATGAAGAGTCAGAGGAAAGGTTTAGAAAAGAAAAAAAATATTACATTAAAATAGAGAAATCATAAGTGCCATGCACAGAGCAGGGCTTTACACCGTAGAGTCTGGAAACTAGATGCGTTATTCTATGTGGTTTACTTTCTGTGGCATCCCCAAAAATATGCTTTTCCCCCCACGTAGAATTGATCATGCTTCTTTCAGTCTCTTTCTGTCCATCTTTAAAACTAGGTATTTTTTTGTCACGGGTTTGTTCTGTTTTTAAATAGGTTCCTTTTTGTTTGGCTGGGGAGGAGTGGAGGAAGTAGTCCGTCAGTGGTTTACTAATAAATGTACAAGCTTATGCAGTATTAACAGGGACATATATAGGAGTGGGTCTGTAGCATACATAGGTCCTGTACCTAGAAAAGAAAGAGACAAGAAAGAGAAGGAGATTTTATTCTTTATCTTTTCCAATACAGAAGATTAAATGCAGACGAGAAATATAGGAAGATTTATTTTTATCACTTCAGAGCCAGGGGTCAGAAGCTTAATTTTAATAGTAAAACAGCATCCTCAAGCTATCCAACTCAAATAGCTTTCTCTTCCCCCTCCCAAATCTAACTCCACTTAGGTCATTTCATTATGCATTACTAATGGTACGCCTAAACTTGGCTTCAGCCAAGTTACCAGCAATTGAGATTTCTATAAATACACCTTAATCTGGTATATAGTTTCTTGAGAAATGACAGGTATCAACCACCCATTACTTTAAAGGGAAATGACAAATGCTGCGGCTGTACTCCTTGATTAACAGGACATGAACCCATTTCATTTGGAATGGGAACAGCAAGACCTTGACATCTTCTTTACCTTTTATAGGAAAGAGGAGAATTTTAAATTAAAAATGTGCACAGGAGCTACAGAAAAACAGAGGTCAGATGTGGAACACATCTGTTACAGTCATTTCGTTCAAGCCCAGGGAGGGCAAGACTGCTCCCGCTCCTATGAGGCGAGTTTATGCGGCACGATACAGGGCTGCAGGGGGAGTTAGGTACGTGCCATCGCGGGGAAGCAGGTGCCTGCGACCTCACGGCTGTAGGAGGAGGACACAGCGCTCCCTGGGCAGGGGCAGGCACCGACGCCTTTGCTCACAGCAAGAAGTGGCATCCATGCCCGTCCTGCAGCTAACGAGGCCGTCCCTGCCTCATCTCCACTTACACGAAGGTACTCGTTCACGTTTGTTTATTTTCTAGCCGCCTGCTAGAGAGGAAGGTACTGTGAGCCACCACGGCCCGGCTCCCCGCCCGCGCATGGGAGGGCTGAGCCGTGGGGCTGAGCTCTGTTGGCCACGCGCTGCCAGGCCATGCAGGCACGGCGCGGGGCGCTGCCCTGCTCCATCTCTGAAGCGGGTCACGGCCCTGCTGCCGGGCAAGGGCGAGAACTTCCTCTGGAGAAGGGCTGCTGCCCTGGTGCAGCCTACGCCCCTGCTGCAGGGCAAGTACTGCCTTTCCCTCCCCAAGCCCCTGCTGAGCCCAGGCAAACAAGGGTGCCGTGGTCCACAGCAGCAGCTGGATGGGTCCCAAGTGCCAACGGTGACACCTTTCCACGCCATGCCACGGACGAGCGTGCGCAGTTATCACCAATGCTGTAACATGACAACACAGGGCTGCTCACCCATGACTGATGTCCCGTCTGGCTGTGGGACGTTTCCACAGGGGTGAATGTAAAAGAAGGAGCCCAGCTGGAGCTTTGCCCTGCAGCTGGAGCACACAGAAGTACCCTGGGAGAGGCTTGAGCGGTGCTGAACACCCTACAGACAGGGGTAATCAGTGCCCAAAACAGTGACGGCCACCAGAGAAGTGACTGTAAGAGCCACTTCGCAAAGCATGAAAGCTTAAAAAAGAAAAGGCTTTTTTATGTTCAGCATCTCTGAAAAAGGAATCAGGCCATTTCTATTTAGGAACCTCACTTCAGGCACCCTAATGCGAATACTTTAGTCTTGGTCTCTAGGAGATGCGAGTCTCCCAGCTGTGGCACGATCAAAGGAAATATCTCGAACAGTTCCTGAGTAAACCACTGCTCTTGGGCTCACTGTTCAGGCTGCCTCATAATCCATATATATATACACTTCACCAGCAAAGCTAGAGTATTATTATCCAATATCAAAAAATAGTTCATAGTAATGTCGTGTGCAATTGAGAAACTCAAGAATTGTCCCTATAGTGCCATCTCATAGACGCCTAGACTGTGTAGAGATTCTTTAGTTATTAAGGTTTTAATTAAATCCTCGCATGCACAAACACGTGGCTAAGGACAGCCTACATAGCAACAGCAAGGCATTAGATGAATACAGGATTTTTCTTTTTCAAGCTGAAAATCATTAACAAACACAATTAACTCAGGTAACTAAAGGAGTAACTCGTTAAATTCTTGCAAAAAGACACTACAAGGGTGTGCAGGGAAGTGCACAACAGCTGCTAAAGCTGGGTTCCTGGCCAGCACATGAGACAGACACTCGCCAAGCCCCAAATGTTCTTGCTGCTCTGAGGCAGCAATACAGGAGCTTGTAAGCTTGGACTTGCCCTCCCTGCCTCAGGAACCAGCCCTGCAGGGCCGAGGTGCAAGGAAGGGCTGCCCCTGGAGACCTGCAGGCAGGATCAGCAGTCCCCCTGCCTGCACCGAGAGGGTGCCGGGCAGCAGGAGCCTTGCCAGACTTCCCTGCCTCTGTGCCAGCCTGGGAGCAAACAGGGCTGCGACAGCCATTTCCCAGCCTCGGCGACCTCCCTCCTCCAGCAGGTCCCGCTGTTCCCTTAAAAATATACAGTAAATTCTGAAATACATTATATCCTACAGTTTTAACAAGGATAAAAACCTAACAACAAACCTACCTACACCAGCGAGAGAAAACAGCTTGCTGACTGGGAAGGCTGAAGGTAACCCCCCATTTTCTGTCCATCTCTCAGCCCAACATGCTACGTGGTATCTGAAGACAGACAGCTCCTTTGCAAATTGCCGTCACTGGCACAACAGACCCATACTTCCAGTCAGCACATCCCCATTTCCAAGCTGTCAGATGGCTCTTCTCACTTCTGGGACACGGCACAGCTGCAAGAACGCCAGCCCAGGATGGTCCCCATGTGCCGTCGCCGTCCCCTGTGCCTGGGGATGGCAAGGCCAGCCCAGCAGCAGCTGACACTCCTCGCAACTGCAGGCAGCTCACAGGTGCCAAATTTGTGCCAATTCCAGACCTGCCCACCACTGTGGTGAAGATCTGGCCTTGGGTATTTATTATGCTCAAACCTGAGAGTAGTAGGAAGAACCCATTTTTCCCTGCCAGGGACGAACTTGTTCTTTCAGTGAACAGGACTTGAGTTTAAGGAGGTGCTGCCAGTTACTCAATCAGAAAGCTGTACTTCTGTAAGTGGGGAATCCCCCTGGAAACGCTGAGGAACCCAACCTGGAGAAACAGGCTCTTGTAGCTCAAGTGCTCTTACAGCCATCACACTGAAGGGCTGCAAAGGACACCAGGTTAGGATTGTTTCTGTTTTGGATGGAAAGCAGGATTAGTCACAACTCCATGCAGCAGCTGTGTGCCTGCTCACCAAAATCATTCCTACACCAGTTTTCCTTTATGTACTAGTTTAAATCTCAGTGCAGAACTGTGAATTAATGCAACAGTCCAAATTTTTTGTCTCTTCCTCTTGTAGGAATTGTTGTTTTCAACCTACATTCTCCATCTTCTTAATTGGATAGCAGAACATGAGTTCAGAGTCTGTTAAGAGAATCTCAGCGGTTAAATAGAACATATTTTTAAAAAATTACTTGAAAGCAGTAATTCTTACTGAACACTAAATACAAGCTTCTTTTTTTCATACAGATTCAGTGTTATTCTGCCCTAAGACTTCAGGCAGTAGAAGCAGACACACAGAACTTCAGAATTCTCCTCCCTCTGAACATAAATACTATTTCCAGTAATTTCTCCCTGTTTAGTGAACCTGAACCCTTTTCATTATAGGTAGCATTGTTTACAAACAAGCAGGACTTAGTGTCCTCAATTCTGCTTTTACTGCAGTAGCAGAAGCTCTGACTTTTACTTAATAAATTGCTACATTTGTAGATGTAAACAAACAGCATGTGGTCTTGACCACTAGGATCTGGACATGCGATTGACCCAGATTTGAGAACAGAGAGTTTCTAACCAGAGACTTCAAATCAGGAGCACCACATAGTTACTTACAGACACTTACAAGAAAACATTTAATTTATATTTTGAATAGTCACTTGATGTTTTGTTATTGTAAGCTTATAGATCTACAATTTTACTTTTAAATTGTTTATATGCACATGGCTGAAAGATAAAGTCTAACACTAAGCAGAACAATAACAAATTGTTCTATTCGTGTATGGTGAATTGCTCTCTGGCACCACTCATATTTCTTTTCAATTTACAACACAGTAACATTTTACTGTAGTTTTCTATTTAATAATTTGTTTTGTGCCAGCATTCATCAAAGTCTGACTTAAAACAGTTCATCCATTTGAAAATAAACATTAATTAACCAAGTGACCTGTGACACATGGAAAAAATGAGATGATTCTTTTACAAGCTTTATTTAGCCAATGGCCAAACCCCACAGTTTCCAGCAGTTTCCTATTTTTCTTCCTAGAAAGAATCTGAAAAATCCCTTGATGTCTCTTTCTGAGATGGCGGTAAAATGCAGTGGACCATATAATGAAAAGCTGAAAGACATCAGTAGTCCATTTTCCTTGAAAGATGAGATAACACCAAAGATCTGACTGCCTATTCATGATGGAGCTGGGACCCCGGCTGGCAGTATCACGACACATTTCTCTGTATTGGCTTTTATGCAGCGACCTGTTAGCCTCAGCCTGCTTCCTTACAGAACAATGTTCAATTAAAACTCTCAAATCTGGCATTAAGAGGTGACCATATAGATTGACTTATCTCTCAGTCCAGAAACCTTAGACTGTGCTTGAGTCGTATTCTGAGGAAACTGCTCCTCCTACCTTACATCTATGGAAAAATGGTTTTATACGGGTTGCTGGTCAAGGATCATTACAGGCAATAACCTCCTAGATAATACAAATTCTCTCTCACTGACATACATTTGGAGAACTCCACTGAATTGAAGGGAATTTACCAAACTTCAGATCTAAGAGCTTCTTAGAAGTTTTTAATTAAAAAGACACCATTACTGAAGTCACTATACACTTATTGAACTGAAGAGATAATAAGCTACACCACGTTAGAATCACACCACAGTCTGAGACATGATCTTGTAAGCTGTATATATCCTTCTTCCACTCTTAAATACTTAAAGCACAATCCACACACTGCATTTTTGCTATTGGGTTTTTTAACGGCTTGGAACTGGTGCCATACACTTTCTACTCCTCA